TTCCAAATCTCAAAATTGTCAAATAATTGAAAGAAGGAACATCCAATCCTCTCACTTGAGACGCTGGAAGAATTTTTCCTTAAAAAAAACAAACTACATTTAAAATCATTTCCACTCATGTCAGTTCTGTAGGAAATCTGTTGAGCAGCTGCAGAATTTATTCAAACAGCTTTTCATTATTTTGTTTGAAAACTCTAAATCTGTCAATTAACAAATTACCAAAAGCAGGCAAATACATGTAGTGGAGTAAAAGTGAGAGTGTGTGAGTACTTCAAAATGTACCTTTATGTACAGATCTAAATATTTTAGTAACAGCTACTACAACAACACATGCAGTAATATGGAAATATGTTTCATATAACTATAAAATGTAATTTTATGATTAAACAAAGGAGCTAGAACACGTTAATGTGTGAGCTTCACTTCTGCTGGTGGTGGTTTCCCTTCCTCCAGAGTTTGTGCTAAGCTAAGTGCTAATTAATGCTGCGTTCATGACCAATCGTTCAAACCGCAGCTGAGTGGGAAAAACTGTTCACATCAGTGACACTGTCGATACAGAGCTCCACTTAGTCAGAGGAACTACACACACGTCAGTTAAAACATAATCAGGTATTTACACCAATACAATCCATTCATCTAATTTAATAAAAGCTGAACTCAGTTTGCATCTAAATATGTAGCAACACATGAACGTCATATGGTACATGAACGCAGCATGGGGACTCTCCAGGTTAATAAGCGTATTTCTCAAAATGTCAAACTCCTCAATGACTTCTCAATAATTTTTTGTCTTCCTCTCAACATCATGCACACAGACGACACCCAGTTAAAAATAACCTTTGAAAACACGTCTCACGTCCATATAGACGGTTTTGCTATTGAAGGCAACTGTTGAATGCAAAGACAAAGTCAGCTGCTCTGATCCACAGCTCAGAGGGAAGGAAATCATATTCTCCATGTTCCATCCTGCAGCTCGTCCTCCCAGATACACAGAGACACTAAACCTTTTAAATCAGCCAGAGACGTTTAAAATAGAGCCTGAACAATTTAGCCGAGGTCAATAAAAATCAACCGACACAAGCATTTCACCATTTTTCTGTATCAGTGTTAGTGTTTGCTAATAAGTGGACATTTTCTTTCACAGTAAAAACATTCCCGTTTACATTTGAAATTTAAAAAATTAGTTTATTTTCTTAATTGAATTTCGATGTATTTGGTTGCATTAGTCTTTTTTCAGGGTTCAACGGTAAAATGTGAATGTTTCTGAATACATGTGTATTTGCCAAAATATCAGTATCGACATTTTTCACTTCCAGTATCGCTATCGACCTCCAACAATCCTTATCGATCAGGCTCTAATTTAAAATGATCCGTTTGTTGAGAATTCCTACAAAAGTCAGCGGAAGATAATATATTCAAACTGCTATTTACACACACACACACTCACACACACACACACTTGTGTACATATACATACATATTTACTTTGTCAAAAAATAACCATTCTATTTAATAAATTAAAAGAAACTAAAAGAAGGTAAGCCGTCTTGTCTCAAGGTAACAACATAATTCTTTAAAGGTGAAAAATAGAATTTAATCAATTGAATATAAAATACACAGCTTTGCAAAATCAAAGAGACAAAAACTAAACACAGTCAGAGTTTCTCAACCTTCACCGGCTTTTGATTTTGACTCCTACACTTCAATCATCCGAGGTTTCAATACAATGCTCAATCAGTACTTTTCAAAACTATGATATGTTTCAATATATCAAATATATTTTACACAAGATCCTGAGAGGTTGAGAAACTTTGCCCAAAGCAAAAAAAAACAAAAAAAACTTTGCATGTACATATATAGACCTTTCATTTTTTTAAGATGCTCAACAATCTTATAAGCGCACGTAAAGAGCCTTCCTGTGTTCGGCCCCCCCCCCCCACTCAGACATGCGTGACGTATATTGCTGTTAAAGTGCGTTCAAACTGCTACACCCCCCCCCACACACACACACACACACACCCCACTCCTGCTCGTCAGACCAGGCTGAAGCCCTCGTACTGCTCCACGGCCTGAGTGAGACGGCGGCACAGGATCTCTTTGGTCTGGTAGCGGGGCATGTCCAGCAGGTTGTAGCAGGTGTGGGCCACCGGCAGGTAGTGCTCCTCGGCCGTGGTGGACTGGATGATGATGCGCAGGCTCTCCATGCCGTGGATGGGGATGCGGTCGCTGCCGGTCAGGAACACTGCAGACGACAGACGCAGTGGGTGGAGTTAGGATCAGATGCGAAAACACTGTGAGAATGTTTCTAAACTACAGATAAAGCTGCTGCTTTTGTGTAGTTTCCGCCCAAGGAGGTTGTGTTTTCACCCTTGTACGACGTTGTAAAAACAACAAGGTGTGGTTCGGGTCACAGAAGGACTCTGAGTTTTGAGGTGGATCTGGATCAGGAATTTCTTTCCCACATTCTTTAAATTGTGAAATTCGAAATTTTTCAACATTTTCGTTGAATTCTCAAAAATGTATTCATGGGTGTCAATGAAGAAAACAGGCACATTAAGGGAACTGATGTATTTACGTGTGAGATTTGGTGCAGCTGTCAGAATTAAAGCAGCACTGCTGCCTCACCCGTGTTTCCTCATGCAGGAACAACCTGCTCACTATTACTGTGTTTATAAGACGTCTGCAGATCGAGCTGCGAGCCTGTTTAACGCTTACACAAGAACTGCTTCTTCTTCTCCAGAGGGAACTCGTGGAAAACCTCCCAGAACAATCGGACTGTTGGATGAGTGGCTGTGTATTCCCCTTTGTAAGCAGCGTTCTGCGAAAACAGAGAGAAAAGGATCTGACGATTGAAAGATTGTCCACATTTTCACAGCAATCAGTGAAACTCGAAGACATGCATGCGTTAAAAAATAAATCAGACTAATCACTCTTGACTCTCTCTCTCCTGTGATATCTTATTATTTGTGCTTCTCACATGTTGCAACACAAGCTGACATCAGCAGCAAAATATGTGAAACCAAGTGGCCGCAAATCCAAACTCTGTTCAGATCCCGAGCTTCAAAATAAACAAACCGTCAGAGTCGTCCAAATAAAACTGTGTTTCATAACGAGTTATTATGTTGGATTTGATCGTTTCAGCCGTTTTACATCACGTGGTTAATTAATGAATTATTTGATTCATTATTCTCATTATATTTAGTGTGTTCCAGACAGGATTCTTTTCTCTAACGTGAATCTACAAGCAGTTTGTAGAAATAAAGAAATACAACGTGCACAGATCTCTGAGTCTCATACTGACCTTCTCCATTTCCTCCCAGTTGTAGTTGTTGTTGCCGACCACCATGGCCATCAGCTCAGACGGCTGGAACAGCGCCAGGATCTCGCCTCCACACACCTTCAGGAAACCTGAGGAGAAGGCTGAGTACTGCTCGCTCACCGAGTCAGAGAACACGTAGCACAGGTAGGCCTCCACGAACTCCTTCCTGAAACACACACACAGCAAACGCTCGGATCATTCATCTGTTCTGCATCGCAACGTAAACCCACAACTTTTCATGGAAACATGTTGAGTCGTTTTTGCTTGAACCTGTAAACAACAACCCAACAAAGTAATGCTGATGACAACATAACCTCCTTGACAGAGTAGAAACAGTAAACCCCTCAGAGATGTTGTTAAATTTCCCCCTCGTCCTGCAGAATAACACACAAAGAAAGGATGACTGGGTGTTTTAGTTCCTGTGTTTTCATTTCAATCAAATGAAGGAAGCCTGACGCTTCCTATGAAAATACTTTCATTTGGTTTAAACACGTAAACCGAGCAGAAGGGAACAGAAAACACAAACCTGCCTTCAAGCCTTTGGTACGACCCCCCCATCTAAATACAAGTTCTGCACTCAACCTCCCTATTGAGCTCACAAACACAGACGTAAACCACATTATAGTTAAACAATATAGATCTCACCCAGACGTCTCACAACCCTACAAACACTGAGTGCAGCCTTCGGTCTGAATCAACATCTCTCTGTGTGACGAGGCCACCGAGCTTTTCTATTATTTCTGGTATTACAGTTTTTTATATGTTAGTGCTGAGGGGATTTTGCCGGGACATCGTGGGTCACTGCGGCTCACGCCATCTGTTCAGCAGCAGCAGCCAGACATGTTGACACCTGCCGCCCCACAACTCCTCCACAGAGCTGTAATCAATGCCAAAGGCACAAGGACGAGCTTAAGACACAGGGCGGGGACAGTGGAGAATAAAACCCAAATGTGACGCTTCAAATACCAAAATCTTCCCAACACAAAACATGACCTTCAGCTGGGACAATGGGACGCGAGCTGCCAGCTGTGTGAGCACATGATAATGTCAGTGTTGGGGGGAAAATGTTTTTATCTTTCAGAGAGAACAGAGCGTAGGGTGTAGAAGTATTCATAAAGTAAAATCAACATGGAGTGAAGGAAGACTTGGTTCATTCCTACAAAAATCTACATGTGATGAGGTCGATCTGTGGAGCTGCCTCACCTGTTGTTTTTGTCCACGCTGATGCTCTCTCCTCCTGGGATCAGCTCCTTCACTTCTGTCATGCCGTAGTTCTCCCTGGTGATCTGAGAGTTACAGTCTTACATGAGGCAGGAGTGAAGAGTGGAAGTCAAACTGTACAGAGCTTATAATGCAACAGTTTTCACTGAGAGGATAAGGCTGGTGATGACGTTGTGTTTTTTGTGGTAAATAAATCTCATGAAAGACCAGAACCAGAGTTGATACGAACAAATGTGGTGCAGAGTCAGATCTAAAATCTTATTTCTCTGTGCTAAGCAAACGAATCAAAAACACATCAGTTATTAAAAGCAAAATCTGTATTTCTAGGTATCAGATTAAAACCAAATGTCATGGTATCAGCAAACCCTGCCGCCCAAATACTACTAAATTCATGTGTATTAATCCACAGCTGAGTCCTTTTCATCAGTTATTTATATAAATATATAAAATCAGACATTTTTGAGCAGTTTAAAACATTTACATTTTCCAAACAAAGATTTGAGTCTGGTTTTGGTCTTTTGGGGGATTTGGTGAAAAGTTATGCTCACAGCAAAGTTGAGAAGAAACGTCTCCTCCACGTCACCTCCCTCATAGTCTAGAAGTTGTTGTAGACTCCTGTGGAGAATAAACAGAATTAATTCAAATCATCTATACCGCTCATCCTCTGAGGGTCCCCGGCTGGAGCTCATCCTCGCTGAGATTTTTGCAAGAGATCGTTGAGAAAGACCCAACAGAACAAATGATCATGATATTGGGGAAGTTTACGATATGCTATTATATGTGAGGGGTGAAAAAAGAAATACAGGGTGAAGGTCAGATGCATATTTATACAAGAAATATTGCTAACACAATGAGGAACTGTGTCGATAGCTGCAGTAATACATGTGGAGTCATGTGACAGGTGTTTCCACCCTGTCAGACAGTTTACTGCGTTCACCTGCTCCCCAGGTTTAAATCTGCCCCGTTTGACTCTTAAAATGAAAACCAGGGATCAAATAGATGCAGAGCAGCAAAACTGTTGATTAGTTCAGAGGTTTAATGGTCACGTATGAGCTATTAATAGGAAATGACTCACAGGGAGGGTTGTGTTGGTTTTCCGGCAGAGAACATGCTGGATGTTTTAAAACCCAGGAAACACAGGAAACATGGAAAGAGGACAAGCGGGCTGCCAAAGGAATCGCTCATTATACAAGGATAAAGTATTATTGTCTCCGAACTGAACCACAGCCTCTGGGCTGGTGTCACTTTGCAGGATTTGAAAACACAGAGGAGACGATACAAATTAAATAAACCTCAAACCAACAAGCTTCTGCAGTTTACACTCTAAACAAAGTGTTATCTTTGTGAGTTGACATTAGTCTGTTGGACTGTTCGTTCTTTTGAGACAGTCAAAATAAAAGTGTAACATTTACTGTATAATGTTCTTTGAGATGATGTCATTTGAGGTTGTATTGTCTCTTATAACAACATAATATGACTAATCTCAAAATCAATAGTCAACTGGAGACAATGAGGCACAGAGGAAACACTGACCCTTCCTGCTGCAAATTCAATAAAAGGCCTTTTTCCAGGGGAAGTCAAATTTACTGCTGCTCAAACACAACTGGTAATGTAAGGGCGTGACTCACTGTTGCACCCTGGTCCCAAACATAAAGAGCAATCTTTAATGTGTCTCTAAGATTAAGGTCTGTTGCTTTACCATTTCACACTTTGTTTTAGGTTACACCTGAAGACGGTAGCACGAGACTCGCTGAGGATAACAAATAATGTAATGATGAGGAAAATAAAGATTGAAGTAAAACGAATGTCTTAAAAAAAAACAAAGCTACTCTCTGTTCCAGACTGCTGCGTCTCACACCACAGTTACCTGGCCTCGGTTGGGGAGAGCTCCTTGAAGTCTTCAAGCATCGGTGACACATCCAGCAGCTTCTTGTAGAGAGCCAGGGGGAAGTGCAGGTCCACCACAGTGGAGTTGTAGATGGCCAGACCGCAGATGATCCCGATCAGGTGAAACCAGTTCTCTTCTACAAAACACTGGAGGCACGGAAAGAAACTCATTATTATAACTTCTGTGGTACGAATCAAAACTCTGAAGACTTCTCATATTCAACAAGCTTATATACGCAAACACAGTAATAACAGACACTTATTATATTGTGTTATAATATATATTTATATTCAACTATAATTTTAAATATTGTGTTATTGTTGATGTATGAATGTGTATGTATAGTTTACATGTTTTAACTATAGGGCAGTGTAATCTATACGAATGTAATCGGCAAGTAACAATAGTAACTTCAGATACATGTGGTGGAGTTCAAACAGCTCAGAAGTGCATTTAAACACAACAGTTGAGTACATGTGCAGTATTTTTACTTTCTAAGACGGATAATAAATAAGTTCAGAATTATATAAAGGTATTTTAAAAAAAATCTGTTTTTCTAATGGTTACTCACTTTGTCTGAGAACCACAGCAGGTTGGACTCCTTGTAGTGAGTGAACATCCCATAAACAGGATCCATCAGCTCCTTTAACAGCAGCAGGAAGAACTCCTTAGTTACTCCGCCTGCGTCCACGGCCTCCTCTCCATCGAAGATCACCTGCAGGACGGAGGAAGACGATGAGAAGAGGTTTGTGGTGAGCAGAAAGATATTTGTTCTCTGATCTTCATACTCGTACCTTTAGTGGCTTCTTCAGGTCCACGTCAGAGTACATGGTGAGCTCACGCAGGGTGTCGCTAACTAAATGGTTCCTGCGCACGTGTATCACCAGGTAAGGATTTCTGGCAAGGTGGGGTTCCAGTGTGAGCAGCATGAAGACGTTGTGTAGGTTTGCTCCGCTTACTGCCATCTTGGTGACAGGACGAGGAAAGAAGCACACAAAGTGAGAACAATTCAATAAACTCAACTCTTCATTTTTATACAAATTGATTCAGATATATTTAATTAAAACAAAATCCTTGCTGCAATACTTTTGTATAAAAAGGAGGTACCTGCATCTGCAGCTCAGCATCTGTTTGCAGCATGGTTGTCTTGGCTTGGGCGTTCAGTATGAACGGATAGGCACATAGGTTCACTGAGGGAAAGTCACTCTGCAGATAAAATGAGACGTGGCTGAAAATATTCCTATAACAACAATAACGTAAAAAGAAACAAATAAGTCTTATATGTAAATTTGGATGTTTATGGTCAATTTTCAATTCCAGTACCTGCGAAGGGGATGATCCCACTTTCTAGAAAACAAAATGAGAGAGAATGTGAGTGCAGCTAATTAATAAGATAGAAACTCGCTCTAATCTCCAATGAGTTATTTTCTTGTCTGTGAATTTAGACACTCACTGGATAGCACGAACTGACAAGCAGATATTCACTCTCGATGAGTTATATGTGCTATGAGTGCAGTAACAAGGACGTGTGATAGTACTCACAATCTCAGCTTTACTCAGAAACCATTTGAGGTAGTCTTCCTGGATGTCCACCAGGCTGGTGATGTCGGGGATATAAAAGCGGCTGTACTCCACATGCTGGGCCTTTAAGTTCACCTGAGAACATGAAACAAAGACCTCAGCCTCAGACTCCAGGAAAGATCACAGTGTGATGTAAGGCACAGGTTAGCACAGCAGGACAAACACATATCCTCTTCAGACTGTACTGAGGAACAATGCAGAGCTGATGACTTGTTTACAGGAGCAGGATGTGACCTCTGTGAATACCTTGTGGAGTTTTTCCAGCAGCCTTAGTGCTGCAAGAAAGTAGTTCTCATAAAACATTGGCACGAGCAGCGTCTTTCCTCCCGTCAGCATAAACACGATGATGCTCTTGTACATGTCGACCATTCTGGTGAACACGCTGTCCTCCACAAAACACCACCAGTTGTCTACAGGATCAGAGAAGATGGTTTAATCAAATCACAAACAAAATGACGGATGCATATTGATCCTATAGGATCGTTATTATTCTCTGATCTATATAAGTTATAGGTCATATGGTCCTATAGGATGATCAGAGATTCCTCTGAAATGTTTTGTCTTCTTTGTGACTTCCTCATGACATCACTAATCATACAATATTGAACGATGGAGAATCATTTTCTGATCAATAAAAGCTTTAGTTTGTCTCTGTTCATGTTTTATGCTGAGATATTTTGGCAAATGTTGTATTTATTTATTTATTTATTTTACCTTGACCTTTGACCAATCAGTTCCGAAAGTTAATCATCAGGAGATATCCTCAAAAGTAATAGTCCCATCGGGTTTGGTGAAAATCTGTCCATGCCTTGTTGAGTTATTTTGTACACACATACACAAAAACCAGCAAGCAGGGTAAACAGGTAATGAGGTAATTAGATAAATTTGACTCCCTGATATATCATATCTTAATTGGTTAAACCAACGATTTATAAAAATTATGGAAATTGCGTCCAACAATGTTTCCAAAACTGACAAACAAGCAATACTTTTCATTTGTATCAATGAGTGTGAAACAGTAAAGATTTGAGGAGTGACTGTTAAAAAACGTTATCCAACTTTTACAATTCGACATCATTCCAAATATCTCAGCAATTAATAAGGTGTTTGCCACAAACACATCAAAAAGGCAATGTTTGTGTTCTTCTTTCCCAAGAAATGTGAAGTTAGCTCAGAGTGGAGTTTATTTGTGTGATCATTAATCCATTATCAGTTATAATAATTTCTGTTTAATGAGTGTAAATATTCCTTTGTAGGAAAAGCTAAGCAGAGGTAACATGGATACAGATGAGGGTGCTGACGCAACATATTGTAAGTATAAACTTAAGAGCGATGCCATGTGATGTCACAGGGTGCACAGGTGTTACATGACAGGATGTCACATGTTCTGTGTTATTAGCGTGACAAGGTGTAAAAACACATCTAGTGCGTGCATGCACATGTGATACCCAATACTTTGCTGGGGTTGGCGTCGAGCCGGAGGATGGCCATCGCCAAGGGGATAGTGAGGCGGATGTAGTTCTTTGAGTCCTGCAGCGCTGGACACTCAGACAAGATGAGGTAGATCCTCATGGCCTCGACGTCAGGAGGAGAGTGCGGCAGCTGAGGGATCAACAGACTCTCAAAACTCTTGGTGGCCTAAAGGGATTGGAGGGAAATGTTTACTTTTAATTACACCCCAAAAAACAACCTTTGTTGTTAAATAGGTAAAAGTATTTCTAATGCAAAGTACTATGATGAATTTAACAAATAAACCAGACACATTGGTTTGGGACATTTTCCTGTTCCAACAACTTGGATCCAAACAGCAGCTGGAGTAAAATATGACTAGATTTCATAACAGGCTTTTAGTGGTTTGGAAAGTGGTCTTCATGTTGGGCTGAGAGACAAGAATCCTAAGCCTAACATTACTGAGCTAATGTTAGAGGTTATGAATCAGTCGTGAGGTTTGTGCCATGGATCTGTGGCAGAACTTGATGTACTTTCAAGACAAGCCCAATATTCACATATAAGATTCAGGATTCTTCTTCAACATCCCAGTGTCCCACCATTGATTGTTTCCCAAACAGGAAGCTAAAAAATCTCTCAATCTGAGTCATGTCTTAGGTTTTTGGGCATTTTGGTTCAGAGGATCTAGGTTCTCTGATATTTATGGGTATGGAGTAAGACGGTATCCAGGTCCCGCTGACATATACTCTCTGAACCAATGATGGGCCTTAGCTGTCAATCAGGATGTTTCACCCAATTTTAATAACATCAAATAAACCAGATTAAGATACAAAACCTTTTCTGTATTTTCACTCGGAGTCTGAGATCAAATATCCTGCGTGATGATGTTTTTGAAAACGTCCAGTACCTGCTCCAGAAGCCCAGAGAAGGCCGGTTTGCTGAGTGCCTCAAACAGAAGTCTGACAGAGTTGAGATCGATGCCCGGGATCTTTGGGTTGGTTTTGAAGTGGATGTCATCACTATAGAAAACAAACAAACATAGGATTATCAGGACCATCGACGAAATCTCAGCGATCAGTAACAGGATAAAAATAGGTCAGAGCTCACATTCAGGGACTTTATGGTAGTCTATTCCAACACCATGCAGCGGGGGAACAATGGTAGAGGTTCTAATTCTCAAACCAACATGAGCAACGGTGAGGTTTACATGCAGCCAGAAGGTATTTAAGTGAATCCCTAAGCAGATCTTCTCCTCAGCCTGGTGAGCACTGGCTGATAAACACACACACACACACAAAGAATCACCTCCACAAAACCAACAAAACCCTGAGCTTGAGGGACAACAACTGTTCACAGTGTGAGCCTTCACGTTCTTACCGCACAACTTTTATTTAGTCATAACACAAACACATGAGATATGATCTGCTGGAGACTGTTTGCCAAACAAGAAACACTGATGCAGACAGAACATCCCAACATGAACTGTGCATTGAACCATATGAACAACTCTGATCCCTTAATGTAACTCTAATGCAATAACCCCACATACTGTGCATGCTTGTGCTAAAAACAACTACAGGACACCCATCAGCTCTTTGTCTCACAGGGACTTATAAATCCAGAGATCACTGAATTTGAAGTTAATCTTGCCTCATGTTTATGGATCAGCTGTAGAGAACGGGCTAAACGAGGTATGAAGTACATAACCATCTGAGGAAATCTGTCCACATTTAGGTGTGGGTTTAGTGACTTTGCTATTCTAAGACTGTTTACTGTCGCTCTCCCATGAAAACCACGATTCTCTAAAACGTATGCAATCTGTTTTTACATTTTTGAAATGACCGCATCGTCTTTTTTTAATAAAGGAAAACCTAATCCTAAATCGCCATATTTGAAGCTACATTGAATTCACTGGACAGCGGCAATGTTTGAGAAGTAATCAAGGTGATAAGTATCATTGGACACTGGATTGTTCATATGTTATAAAGACAGAAACATCCATCTATCATTTATACTGCTTATTCTATGATGGTCTCAGGAGAGCTGGAGGTGATCTCTGCTGACACTGCTGGCAAGAGGCACGGTACAATCCGGAGAGGTCGCCAGCGTAACACAGGGCCAACATACAGAGAGAAACAACCGCTGGAAAGAAGCCGGAGTACCCAGAGAAAACCCACGCAAACACTGGGGGAACATGCAAACTGGTAAATTGTTTAAATAATTCTTTTTGAGTTTCAGTATTTTCCGCAGAGAGCGCAGAATTAACAACTTCTGTTGTCTCCAGATGTGTATTTTCCACCCTGATGTTCCTGTTCTCAGGACATGATAAGTATCTGCTGACAAGTTTGTACTAAAAAGTCATCACAGCTACACACAGACTGATGGTCAGAGAAATGTGAAGTGACCAAACAGACAGCTGCGTTCCCAGCCCTGAGGCCCAGCAACTTACGTTGGATAAGATGATGGTTATTATACAAGTATGAGACAAGAAAAGTAAGTTGACCCTGTGACGTCCCTGCTGGATTAGTTCCCAGGAGTCTTGCGTACATTTGAGTCACTGTACAATGATACTGCAATTTAAACTTTAAGATTTAATATCTAACAATGCTTTATTTAAACAATGTCTAAACCCAGAGAAATCTCCAATTTTATTTCTATTTGGTCAATTACATATGACGAAGGAAAAGCACACCGGTAGCAAGTTGACATTTTTTTCAACTGTTTTTATTGGTCACTCGTAATGGGTCATGATTATTCATTTCCGTTTGCAGTGAATTCTGTTGCTGACGCTCTTCCAGTAAAGCACGAATGCACAGGGGAACAAGCAAACCAACAGGATTATGGGACCAGAAATGGTGACGAAGACAACAACTCCCATGGTCCAATGAGGTTATTGTTATTGTTAGCTTGAGAGACCCCTAATGGCCGAAGTTCAATTTGGCCAAAATGTGTTCATTCCGAAAGACAATGACTTTTTTACCTCATCAACAGTTTGATGCTGTCGGGGCTGTGTGCCAAAGTGCAGAGGAGGTTTAAAGGGACAATCCAGCAGCACATTACTGCAGATTGTACTGTATCACTTTCTGGACCAAGTCCACAGATCTTGTATGTGCGCTACTATTTTTGGCAGAACACACAAGGTTGGAGGTACAGGCCAGGTTCACATTCACTGTCAGAGCCCAGTTATACACATGAGATTCATTTTAACTTGCTTAATTAAATCTTGCATAATCACCTTAGGGCAAAGTAGATATGGTTAGTTTTTACTTTCACCATATTCATACAGTGAAGGACAGTTGTCTTGGGTCTTTTGCTTCCTTCTCTGCACTTGAACTTCTGCATTAACGTGTGCAAACTTGCTGAGATGTGAAACAAAGCTTGGCAACAGTTCCTGCGTACAGGACCTCACCTTTGGTCCAGGAAGCTGGCATTCCAACAAGCTGTGGAGGACAGCTGAATGATAATGTCGCTGGGCACAAAAGCAGAGCACAAAAAAGTGTTCACTCATCAACAACAGACATCTATAACAAATTTAGAAAAAATTTAAATAATAATAATGTGATTTAAATGATCATTTCTTGTTCATGACTTACTTTGTGACACTGGAATCTGTGTTGTACATCAGTTTTAACCTCCATGAATTTAACCGTTCAAAATTGATTGGGGCGAGGCTTTTGCTGATGTTGATCACTCTGAAGTCTTCTGGGGGGACTGAGCTCTGCAGAGATAAACAGACATAACATAACAGCATTAGGAAATTGTTTGCTGCGGCACTTCCTCTTTGTGTGGCACAGTTCAGGACAGGGACAGTCTGGGTTGTGTCTCTTTCCTCCATGAAGATAAAATAAATAAAAAATGCCCGAGGTCTAAATATCTCCTGCTGCAAAGGCTGAGTGTGTTGTGTCTTTATCTGTGAAGGTTCCTGGCAGTGTGTAGCCGATGGCTGCGCCATATACTGTGGAAGTGATAAAGGTTTGTACATGACTGCCATCCTGTGGTGAAACATGGTGATTCTATTTCCTAAAGATTAAATTGAAAGATTTGGGGGATTTGCGTGTTATGCCGTTGCTTGTTGTGTTGAAATTTTGAAAGCGATTATGGAAAGTGTTGAATGTTTGGTGAAGGCAAACAGAGCAGATGGTTATTTATATAATAGGGATTAAATACATTTAATAGTCCTCAAAATCTTAACAACAGAATTAAAGGATGTGTGAGCTTGTGAAGATAATAATCTCTATTTTAAAACTTTATAATTGTACATATCAACTTCTTCTGACACCATGTTTGTGCCTCTGCATTACACGTTACTGTGTGTTTTCTAAGTTGAGATGAGACATTTAGTATATGCAATAACATTTTAATAAAATATGGCAAAATTGGGAAGCAAAAAATTACACTTTCAGTTCTGTGACTGAAAAACCAAAAATATAGGGAAGTGACAAGAATCAGCAGGACTGTAATAAAAGCACTGGACACCAACTGACGCAAATAAAGCAAGAATCTGAAGAACACACATACCTGTTCATTAGAGTACAGTAAGAAACTATGGTCTCCTCCACAGATGACTTTGGTCACTAAATAGTGTTTTGAATATTATGGGGAAAGAAAAGATGGAACATGTTAGCATCTGATTACAATGAATCAAAAAACTTAAAAACACAGATGTCATTTCTAGTGTCCCTTTGACAAAAACTGATTGTTTTTTCCTCCGAGTAGCCTGGCATTCTTAAAACAGCCATGTCAGTCACCATCATATATTGACTAAACAACACGTCTTCTGTTTACCTGGTCTATGGAAATGAGCAGTCAACAAACTGGTCTTCACAGGAAATGGACTTCTAGCATCCCCCAGTATTCCTGTGCCAAGCTGCCCATGGCTGTTACAACCGAATGCATACACCAATCCAGAGGACGGCACAAACGCCAATGTGTGGTGCCTGACCAAAGGAACAAGATTTAGGATGAGTGGGAGACATGAATATCCCCTGTGCAATAAGTCGATCAGAGTATATTAGCTGTGATGCGATACAAACTAACATGCAATAAATAATAACTCGTTTATATATATCTTAAAAACAGCAAATAGCTGGTTTCTTCATAAATCAGTCTTGAATCTTGAAATAAGAAATAGTGACTTGACATTTCTGATGATAAATTATTAAAATCGACTGATTTCTATTGCGATACAAGTTCCGGCTGTATAGCCCAGCTTATAAGTAGCTCTCTGAAACAGTCTACAGTCTAAAGATTCAATAAGACAGAGTAGGTTTAGAACAGACCTGCCACAGGTGATCTGGGACACCTCAGTACCCATGAGCTCCAGCACTCGTCTGGGTAAAAGTTCATTGTTGCTGGAGCCGTGGCCCAGCTGACCCCAGGAGCCATCGCCAAACGTAAACAATCCACCGTCCTGCCAGACCAGACAATTTGTATTCGCAGTTTGAGACAGAAATTTTCAACAGAACTTTGCAGTGAGTAAAACTACAGTATTGTTTTTCTCAAATGGCCACAGTTAAAGCCACAGTGGTGAATTAAGATCTGTTAGGGTTGGTCTGGCTGGAATAAGAATTTGATTTTATCCAAGTAATAAAGGTCATTCATTTACATGGAACTAGTTAAAGTACTGAGTCAATAAACCATCACTGAAAGTGCTAACCAAGCAGCAATCAACCAAACTGAACTCTGTAACATTCTATCAAAATGAACTGGTAATGATTTATCAATATTCGTACCTTTGTGAGTGCTGCTGTATGTTCATCTCCACAACTGATGTAAACAACTTTTTGAGATCTCAAAAATTTGATGTGGCAGGGGACGGCACGATCTGAGGACGAGAACATAAACAAGCCAGCAAGGTCACACTGTTCTTCTTTTCAAGTCTAATGTATTTACTCAAATGAGACTCAGGGGAACATGGGATCTTCTGCATTTCAATCTAGCACCATGGAGGCAATTAAACAGTGAGCTTACTCTTTTAAATTCTTCCATCCATTATAAAGCAGTGGTACACTGGTACAGACAATTTAATGTAAAAACAATTCACATACTAAAATAAATATTTTAATTTTAAAGTTATTATATTATTATTTTTCTCGACAACCGTCTTATCGTAACCCCCAGGTAAAGAATCACAGATTTAGAAACCCAACTAACTTGTCCAGCTAATTATTACCTTGTTTATCATTGAGTCCCAGTTGTCCCGCTCTGTTTTTGCCCCAGCCAAACACAGCTCCGGACAAGGAGAGAGCGAAGCTGTGGTCTCCCCCAGCGATGATCTGTGCCAAAGGAATTCCAGCCAGAGACTTCAGGGGATGAGGGAACAGTTTGCTGGGTTCTCCTTTTCCCAGGCCGAGCTGACCGCTGGCATTCTGGCCCCATGTGAATAGCTGGCCATCTGAGAGGGACAGGACACATTGAATACTTGACTGTACTAAACTAGACTAATAACTGGCAGAAGATACAGACTGATAAACAACATTTGTCAAATCTGAAACAGAAGTGCTGCCCAGATTTCTACTGTAACATTGGTAACGTTTATTTAACACCCAACCATGTTTCTTATTTTCTTATGTGTATTTCTGCAGTGATTTTTGTAATTGCTTGATTTAAAAAACAACGCCTAAGATGAATTTGAGTCAGATGTCTACTTGAATCAGTTTCATTACTAGATTGCATGGTACAGTTTCAATATGAGCTGTATGGAAGCGTGATTGTAGGTGTGAGGAGTGTTGGTGTGTCATGACGACACTGTGACTTTCACACCTCGAGAAAGTGCGATGCAGTGCTGATTTCCACACATTACTTGGGAGATGTGATGGTCACACAGTCTTTTGACCAACCTAGACAAAACAAGACGAAATGAATTGTTAATTAGCACAAAAACTCACATTAAAAAAGAGTTTAATATAAGTTACAGACACACAACAACATTATTCATCAAGTTAAGACTTTTTTCACATTAAAAAAACACATCTGACTCAGCTCCTCATTGCTCACAGGAAACACAGATTCATGGTATTCTATTTTTTTCTGTTTTGTTTGCTGTTGATTTCTGCTACTTATGTGCAATGCTCCTATCCCCACCTTTCAAACATTCTTTTCATGCAATGCCTTTCTTCCATCTAAAAATATCAGCTTCAGTTCTCCTAAGTTGTGCTACACAATCACACACCTTGGGATGCGAACAGCCACCTCTGCAGTCCCCAGGCCGAGCTGACCCCCTTCACCAGCTCCCCAGGCAAATACTTGACCTTTCTCATTCACCGCCATAGAATGGGCTCGACCACTCGACACATTTGTAATCTTCTGAGTGTCCAGAGCGCCGACTAGCTCTGTGGAGGGGAGGAAGATGCTGTCAGACTCGAGCAGAACTAATTAGAAAATATATGTCTGTTGAAATATGTACAGCTTTGATTTGGAAGTGCAGGTATTCTTTCATGACAGGCAATATGGCCATTCTTTTTTTATTTTTCATTTTCGAGCTCTTTTCGAACTCTCTCACTCACTTGGTTTTGTATTATAACTGTTCTGTTGCAGTTAACAAGTTGCAAAGTCAAAATGGCATTTAATTATGTTTTATAGGTTCTGTTGAAGCACAAGTGCATTGATAATGTGGTCATGGACCCAACCCATGCACGGCATTAAACACTGGTATTCTGTCTCAACATAAATCTTTTCAACAGAACCAGAAATGCTTGAAATTACCTGCAAAGAAAACAAGCATGTGTTGCATAAAAAATACAATTTGTTGTCAGTTTGTATGGTCTCAGAACAATGCTCCATATGACATGACAGAAAATAGAGAAATGCAGCAGAAAGCACATGAAAAGAGAACAGACGATTAACTTATAACTTATGTGTTTAAAGCCTACTGACTGTGTGTAAGCTCTTATACAATGTGTGGGATATCATCACAGTAGTTTCTCTCCCTGCACACTGAGATCTTTTAGGTATTTTGTTGTTTGAGGTCTTGGCATTTATTCAATGTTGTTACAGCTTCACCCACATGCCTATACAAAGTATCACACAACACAACATTCCACCCACATGAAACCAGCACAAACCTACCACTGTCTGCATTCACTTCACTAGCTCGGAGTGTTTCAAGTCTCCCAGAAGTGGGCATATGGTCTCGCAATCTCATGTTCCCAACAGAAACAGCTTTGCCAAAAATGTGCATATAAAGTACTAAGAGAAATGTTCCACTGATTTAATTCATGACATGGAAATAACCTTCATTGTCACATTGTTTAAAATGTTGCTTGTAAGTATGTAAAGCTCAGAGTTGCCATGTTTTTCTTAGTACCTTTGTCTACATACTGTAGATGTATAGTCATCCAGGTCATGTGACATTTTATAGCTGGAAAACTCAACAGCAACTGGATTTGCTAAGATATTTCACTGCACAGTTGGAAAGCGTCTTCTTCTTAATGAGGGTGCAGCTCTACCAAAGCAACTCGAGGTTTAACTGCTATATAGGTAATTTAGTTAATTATCTATTTTTAATCACATAAAAAGATTGAGGAAACTGTTTAGAGATTAAAAATTGAAATCACCATCCAATCACCAGAATCATGTTTGGTAACTTTCCACACACGTGTTTACTAAAATCATTGCCGCAGGGTGCAATCTGTGACGATTTACCACGAGTCAGTTAACGTAGTGGTGACGCTTACCTGGGGAAGTCCCTGGTTTGTCGTGGCCCAGCTGTCCACAGCTGTTAGAGCCACATGTGTACACGCTGCCATCATACAACAGGAACATTGAGTATTGTCCTCCACACGCGACATCCTTCAGTCCCCTGCCCATGAACACATGACAGTTCTTTGGCTCAAACAAGGGGTTCCTCTCCAGGCCAATACCCAGCTGTCCATCCCTTGCATTCCCCCAACACAGCATGTTGGTGAGGGGAGAGGGGATGAGCACCAATCTGAAGAGGCAGAGGGAGTGACGGCCAGATGGATGAGGACTCTAACGTTCAGGCTTGAGAGCAGCCCCGCTTCCTCCTCTTCATGTAAATTCCAACCCTGGAGATGAGACAAAACAGAATGAGAGTGACACCGTGACACTGATCACTGTGCTCCATGTATGAACCCCGGTGATGTTTTTAAGAATGGACTCAGGATGGATTTAGATGTGAGGGTGGCTGTGTGTGAGAATGGTGTAAGCGCTATGACAGTGGGACATGCAGTGTGTTTAAATAAACCCTGTCAGTGTAATCCTGGCTTAAGCAGCTCCAAGCAGCCCTGCCCTGTTGTCAATCCACTTGCAATACGTGCATGCCACTGTTCGAGTTAGCCACGGATAATAAACAAAGAGAGGATTTACTGAATGAGACAAAAAAATGATAGAAATCAGGAGACAGAAAGAGGTGATGGCAGCACAGAACAAGCTAAATGAATTTATACTGAGGACAAACCACAGCTACACTTTAGATGACTGCAGTTTGATTATGTCAAGTTCATCATTTGTCTGTCTCCACTGTGCATAACATTACCTGCACTCATCTGCAAGATCTATTAGATATATAAATACATTTAGGTACAGTATAATAGTTAAACAAATATGCCTTGAGTATGGAAAAAAATTGTTTAACCACATGCAAAAGCAAAATTAAACAAATGAAAAATTAGCCATTATTCAAAACGTAAGGAAATTACATATAATGTAAATGTATCTACTAAGCTGGATAGTTAGGGAGAGGAAAACATAAAAAGTATCTGTATGTCCACAGTGAACCCAAACTTAACAAATGCTGCATAAAACATGAATAACTCCATTGTAGCTCATAATTTTAGAATAAAGATGGTGAATGTCCCCAACGTGTAACATATCCCTGCTGTAACACATAAACCGATCCTTATAGATCAGTTATCAGCCATTAATAATGCCAAAATGGGCAAAGTCTTAAAACTTCATTTGACTATAGTCTCTCTAAAAGACCAGGGCTATAGAAGGGGGGTAAACTATATGTCTTTGTTGATACTTCATTTGAATACATTTACAATAAATTTGTACTCGTAAACCCACGTGACATTGAATACACATCTTGGTGTCCATGGACATTCAATATTGGTGGATAATCCAGTTCTTTGGGGAGTGGTCTCCCTGATGGATTAAAGAGATACTTTGAAAGCTGAAGTGGGACTTCACACAACCTGTCATTATTAATGGCTGCTATATGATCAGAAAACAATTATAACATTACTTATTGAAACAAGCAGTGCTTTGTCAGAGAGTGATACCAAAGCTGCAATCGAAGTAGGAGCAGCTGAGTTGTCATGTGTAAATGATGCAGATCTGTAACGACATGTTTATAACGACACGTCAACCAGCTGTTCAGGAGTCAAGAGGAGGACTGGGCTCAGTCTGCACCGAGTGTTTAGATAAAATCAATGCAAACTCAACACGTCCACTGACATTATCTGTGTAACCTGTTTATCAACGGGACCACGACCACCGAGCTGCTGGCAGTAGTTAGGCTAACTAAGCTTAGCAAGCAGCAGCAGCAGCTCTGACTGTCAGTGTGGAGGCTGAACCCCAGCAAGCCTCCTCCACCAGTGTCCACATTAAACATGAACATATGTTGTCATGCGTGAAAAAATACACGAAAAGTAAAAAGGGCGTGTTTACCTGGTCAGATGCATCCTGTGATATAGCGTCTGGTTTCGCTTTAGCTCGGAATACAAACGCGGAAGTGCAACCACTGCTACGTCACTGTGCTTCCCGGGATGTGATTGGTCCGTGTACAGGGTTGGACCCCAGACTCCTCCTACTTACACATATCTATCTATCTATCTATCTATCTATCTATCTATCTATCTATCTATCTATCTATCTATCTATCTATCTATCTATCTGTCTATCTATCTAGCCATCCATCCATCCATTTACCCATCCATCCATATATCCATCCATCCATCCATATATCCATCCATCCATCCATCCCTTCATCCATCCATCTACCCATCCATCATCTATCTATCTATCTATCCACCCATCTAGCCATCCATCCATCCATTTACCTATCCCTCCATCCATCAATTCATCTATCCATCCATCTATATACCTATCCATCCATCCCTTTATCCATCATCCATATACCTATCCATCCATCCCTTCATCCACCCACCCATCCATATACCCATCCATCCGTCCAATCATCTATCAATCAGTCCATCCATCTATCTATCCATTTATCTATCTATCTATCTATCTATCTATCTATCTATCTATCTATCCATCCATTATCTATCAATCATTTTATCTATCTATCTTTTTATCTATCTATCTATCTGCAGCCTATATTAAATGTGTTGAAGTCTTATTTAGTGTAATGTTTGCATGTTGTTTATTTCTTCCATGTTTACTGAGCTATAAGTGGACTTCAGTCCTACGTCATCACCCACCTCTCCTCTGATTAGCTGTGGAACGCCAAAATTGCCGCTCAATGTTTGGTGCAAACGGCTGTCATTCAAAGTCTCTCCGACCAATCACCTGCACGCTACGCGGGGCGTCCAAGGAGGCGTGACGCTTCCAGGCCTGTGATTGGTGCGGTCACGTCACCGGCCTTGTTTGATAACATTGAGACTCCGACACAGTGGAACCGAGACGCAGGCGTTTGTTGATCCATTGACCCGTGAGAGCCCAGAGCCCAGGAGAGGACCCAGCTCATTGAAGCAGCTCAGAGACCCAAGGTATCGTTTCTATCCACACTGCAGCGTGAAGCTAAGAGGCCGAGCTGCGGCCGACACTCGACACCTCGGTCGCTAATCAGCTAAGTGTAGCAGTTGCTGTGTAGCTAGCTAGCTAATGCTAAAAAAAACCGCCGAAATGTGGACGCGCCGACTTTAACGTGTGTCCTGTTGTTGTTGTTCTGATATTTGTTGTAAACACGTTGTCCCGGAGAATCGAGGCTCTGTCACTGTGACGTGGGCGCGGCTCATGTGTGTCTTCACCGAGGCAGCGCTTCATTGTCAGCAGCGAAGCTCATGACTGTGGAGAGTTGCATCATTCACCTAAACTTTGCTGGCTGAATGTATGTAGGTGTGTTATCGATGTTTTCATCAGCAGTGAGTGCAAACACAGGAATGAACCAGCATCAAAACACTAAGTTATGATCAGCCAACACACCAACACCTCCCTAATCAAGACTTATTCAACGATGGAATGACGATTTGTCATGGACTGTAACTCCTGATTTCAATATTTGATTAATGCAATTATTAATGTTCATGTTTTAAACATGGGAACTCAAAACCTACTGGGCTGCAACTATAGTCCTCATGTTTCATTAACCTGCTGATGATTATCTCAATGATCTGTTTTGTCAGAAAAGCTAAAAATATATATTACAATTTTCCAGGTCCAGAAGTGCATGTATTAAATTGCTTTCTTTTATTAAGTTACTATCCAAAACCCAAAGATGATCAGTTTGTTGTTATGAGATAAGGGTCGAATCCGTACATTATAGTGGCAAGAACAAGTGAATATTCAGCAAAACATTTATTGAATAATTTTCAGTATAACATAAAAATACTCATTATTTGCCAACTAATCACTGTTAACACACCTTAAGTAAAAAATAAAGGGATTGGATCATCTTAACCTGCTTTCTTAAGTTGAGATAAGAAGTAAGCAAAGGTGTCTTGTTTAATGATTTGTAATAGTTTGGAGAAACCTTTTCCTCTAATAATTCAGCGTTGGTGTCAGCAGCAACAACACAGACATCACGGTACTGTTCATCCCACCTGAATCAGAGAAACAAGTTTGTTAATATGTTCAGTAATATTCTGCATCCATTCTAACTAAATTCTTTTTCTTCTGTGTCGGAACATCCCTCTCCCTCTACACTTGGGTCCTCTGCAGTGTTTGTGCTGTCAAGGTGATGTCAGCAGCCTGTCTCGCGCGCCTGGCAAGGTGCAGTGGTCCTCACGTGGGTCGCACTGGTCTTTTTCAAATGTTCGTAGTCCCACTCCCATTGCAGCCAGACAGCCACCTCCAGTACACAGTCAGTCGTAGACAGCTTCACAGCCCTACAGAACGACGACACAGCAACACGCGTTTTGATGCCGACAGCAGTGGCCGCCCCACGACTTGGGATTCATTTGGCATCTGGGACAATCGTATTGATGAGCCCATCCTGCTGCCCCCCAGCATTCGCTATGGCAAGCCCATTCCCAAAGTCAGCTTATCCAAAGTGGGCTGTGCCTCACTCATTGGTCAACGCAAGGAGAATGAAGACCGCTTCCAGGTCTCCCAAATGACTGACAACACCCTCTACTTTGCTGTTTTTGATGGGCATGGTGGACCAGAAGCAGCTGACTTCTGCGAAAAATACATGGAAAAATTCATCAAGTAAGGACATCATTAAATATGCTATAATCAAACATCTGTCCAACTCACTGTCACATGATTATAATTAACACAACAAATATGAACATGTTTGCTGTTGTTTTAGGGACCTGCTGTCAGAGGAATCTAATCTGGAATTAGTTTTATCAAAGGCCTTCCTCGAAGTGGACAAAGCTCTTACAAAGCACTTGCACTTCTCTCCAAATGGTAGGTTCTTTCATGTAACTTGTCCATAGACAAACTGTATATATACCGTATATACAAACTTGTATATAAATGTAATAGCCTTTTTTCCTTCACCTTTCAAAACCTAACTCACTTATTCTACTTAGGCTTTTGAAGCCTTGGATTTCCCAACTGACATCAGCACTTTTGGTTAGAGGTCTGTCATTTAACCTGAAGTTACTGAATAACTGATAACCAATAAACCTTAAGCAAGCATGTAGAGCGAACACTAATGCTTGACTTCTTCCAGTTCTGCTGCTCCATGTACAGAAGGTTGACAAATTAAAGGTAAATCCCAAGTATGCTGTGTGATTAAACATATACAAATTTCCATACAGGGTCGCAACAGTTTTAAGTATTAAATCACATTGTTTTATCTGTATAGTCATCAAATCCCAACCACCTGTGGGTTAAACAATGTTCTCCACCAGCATCAGACACCCCAAATTGATTCCAGTCAAAACTTAAAGACTCACTATTTGGCAAGTAGTGGCCAAACACCTTTCACCCACACTTGGTGTTGTGATTTCCTTAATTTGTCACCCATCTGTTGATATTTTATCAGTCTTAAGCATAGGCATTGAAATTGCTATCAGGGTTCATTCGAGTATATCCCTCAGACAAATGAATGCAAAACATTTCTCTCAGTAAATCATGTGGTTTACACGTTTGCCCTAGTCATGTAGAAAGCTTAGTTAGTTAACTTTAATTTTCTCAAGTGACATTATGTCTGATTAAGATTATCCAATGATATTAAAGCTAGTAAACCTGTTTTGTGGCCATACACCGGCCACGCTGTGTGAAATGTCCCAATATGCCTGTGTGTGTGTGCATGTTATCTACGGCAGCTGCGGACCCAGCTCAGAGCTGGAGGCCCTTGGCACCAATGTGGATGACGAGAGGCTAGATATTGAAGGAGAGTCCAGCGGGTCCAACTCCTGGACTACTGGAAGGTTCCCTATCTTTCTCTCACTCCTCTCTCTCTTTCTCTCTTTCTCTCTCCTTCTTTTCTCCCCTCACCAAGTGTATGCAAAGCTTCTTGTGAGACAGTGCTTCAGTTTGACGAGTTGTATGAGATATATGTTGTCAGTTATTGATCTAGTTAGTCCACAGGATGCATCACATTTAATATGCAGATTAGATTAATAAACGCAGTTTAAAATGTCCTGTTAGTACTCATTTATTTATGTTGAGAAAGGACTGATAGGCCTGTAGATATCTGAAGATGAATCCACTTAATGAAATTTGATGCTGTAGAGTTGATGACATATAAATTGGCCATTTAGTCAATATCTTGTCTTTTCCACTCATAAAACTGACTGGAAGCATATTCACTGAGTCCAGTGATGTTATTGCTTCTAACTGTTTTCCTGCATTAATAATAACTGTTACAAATGATCATGTATCAAAACAAAATTGTATCACTTCAGACTAGTGAAGAGTTTTTTCTACATTTGAGATAAATGCTTACAAACAAACAAGTTAATTTTAGCTTTTTATGAAATCTTAGGGAATAATTGATTTTTTAATCTATTTGTGTGGATTTTTGTAAGCCGGGCCCAATATGTATTGTGCCACTTGTTTATTATTAATATATAATTTTCAGCTTTAGTCTTCACTCTGCTGTGAAAATTTGCTCTGGAACTCAACCCTGTTAGACCTGCATGTGTGATTGTCTCCTCTATTGTTTACTGTGTAATCTGTAGTTCGTGGACCTCCATGGCTCCTTCCACCTCTGATGTCTCTTGTTATGTCTCTGTAGTGCTGGGGATGAATGCAGGAACCACTGCCACTGTGGCCCTGCTGAGAGACGGCATAGAGCTAGTGGTGGGCAGTGTGGGTGACAGCCGCGCCATGCTGTGCCGCAAGGGCAAAGCCCTTAAACTCACTGTCGACCACACTCCTGACAGGAAGGATGAGAAAGAGAGGTATATGAATGTTGTCAGTAAATACCATGTTTATCCGTTTATACAACCGTTTGTACAACGTGAAGATTCAAAAAGTAGTGTAGAATGTTATATTTTGAGTGAGGTCTGCAGAGTTCTTCTACTTGTTAGTTTATGTTAGACATTTTTTATTTCTTATTGCATTGATTTTGGTGTGCAGCAGAGTCTCTGTCTGTTGTGCTGGTACCTTTCCCTCAAGTTCTGGGACTATCATACAGAAGCTACACAATTCATTTATAGTAATCCACCACTTATAGTGATGAATTTGACCCAGGACAAATGTGATCACTATAAGCAGTTTCCACTGTACTACATTTTTGTCAGTAGGCGATGGCAGCATGAAATTTGACACGAAATTACCCTTTCAATTGTCTTTGCAGAAAAAACAAAATGTATTGTTGTAAGGGAAGACAATTTTTTGTGATGAAGGTTTGCAGACTTTTTCAATGTTATTATCCACTGCAGTCTTCAGTGTGATAGGTTGCTGTTCCAGTAACACAGCTTTAACACACGTTTTAAATTTGAGTTAGATACACTGATGTAGCTTAATTAGCAATGATTAGCCTGAGACAGATATTGTTCATGATATTGTCAATGTTATTGTTATTATATTATTCATTTGTGGTGTTTCCTCTCTCCCTGTGCACTGGCCTCAAGGATCAAGAGGAGTGGGGGTTTTATTACTTGGAATAGTCTGGGCCAACCAAATGTCAACGGCAGGTTGGCGATGACACGCAGCATTGGAGACTTTGACCTGAAGAACATGGGGGTCATTGCTGAGCCTGAGACCAAGAGAGTGACGGTAGGTTTAAAAAAAGCAGAGGTCATTGCAACTTGAGATAAATATTTCACAATATAAATAAATGCGTAAATTATAACTGAAATAATTTGTTGCCAGCATATACAGGGACAAACTGTGCATATTATGTTTAATGTTAATAATGTGAATTCTGTACATGTGTTTTTATAAATATTCTCCTATCTGTCAACATAGTCATCTGAATATCCAACAATGCATGTTTTCACATTTCCTTCAATATTTGTCCACAAATATATTGTATCATTATAAATTATGTTTTTTTCCTTTGAACTCTTTTTAACATTTCGTCTAATAATTCAGTGACACTTGGTGGAATTATTTGTTGATAGAAATATTGAAGTTCAATATTGATTATTGACCATTAAATCTTTTCTTTTTCCCTTCAGTTGCACCCTGTCCACGACGCATTCCTGGCTCTGACCACAGACGGCATTAACTTCATTATGAATAGCCAGGAAATCTGCAATGTCATTAACCAGTGCCACGACCCCAAAGACGCAGCTCAGAGAATATCTGACCAGGTACTTTTTATCATTCATTTGTGGCTGTTGGTTTAAGCCTAATGGAGAGTTAAAAATGTAGTATTGAACTAATTGAAGTTGTTGCATTGAAAGCCTTTCAGAAATACCTTTCCTTCATCATCTGTTTGTCCTACACCACAGCAGAATATTGTTGAAGCACTTAAAGGCTTAACCTCTGCTCTGGATCAATGCATTATGGTCCTGAAGCATAAGGGAATTATAAGCTCTGCTAGCAAATAACCATGAAACTTTACAAATGCAGTCGCCCACATTAATGTTTTTGAATTGTTATGTATTCCTTCTCTCTCAGGCTCTTCAGTATGGCTCTGAGGACAACAGCACCATTATTGTTGTTCCCTTTGGTGCTTGGGGAAAGCACCAGAATTCGGACTCAAGTTTTTCCTTCAGCAGGAATTTTGTGTCCAGCAGTCGCTGGGCATAGTCAGCAGGACGTTGGATGAAATGCTGCGGTCTGTGGACCTAATTATTCTGTGCAATACAATCGGTGCCCTTGAGGAAAAAAAAAAAGAGTTTGGTTTGCCCAAACAATAATACCTATGGGTTAAAACAATTTGTTTAGGGTAACATGATCATTTTTAGCCTCTGTAATGTCAGAGGTGGTGAATTAATGTGCACTTGATTAAAAACATTTTCTTTCTACAAGGTTTTATCTACTAGCAAGCCAATGACCTAATAAGTGCTAAAAGTTGAGAAGCATGTGAATGGCAGACAGGAATTAATGGTGACACTTACGGCCTAAGATTTTAAGACAAGTATTCTTGTGTCTGCCATTCAGATATATTTTGTGTATTTAGGTGTTCATAATGCCCAAGTTTGCACTTGTTGTTTTCATCTTAACTTAAGGATAACTTAACTTGGATAAGTTACATTTTTAAGACAGTGGTGCATTTGGATTTCGCCAGTTGTTTTTAAGCCTCTAATTCTGGTACATTTGTCAGTGTTAACAGTAGGAGCACAAGTGTACAAGTAAATAGGAAAATGGATTTTCAGAACCCTTGTACGAGAATACCAAATGTACTTAAATGCACATACAAGTCAAATCTGCAGCAACTGGAATATAATCAAATGCAAAATGGTGAGTAGTTCTTAATGACTCATGATTCTGGACCTTCCTTTTCATGTAATGGATCAAATCATCTAAAACAGACTATACAGAAATAATTACTAAATTCACTTTTGCTATTTTAAACCCATTTTTAAGTACTTCCCCATTAAAGAGATTCAACACTTAATGTCCTCTCTGTACTTATAGTACTTCCTAAAGCACCCCCGTTGAGCATTGATGCTCATTTGCTCAATTGTGATGGTTTGAGCAAAACCCTTAATGTTCAGTAATCTGGTGAGCTAGTGGGCTGTGTGAATGGAGTTGCTGATTGCTCAGTAACTGAACCTGGCATTTAATAATAAGACTGTAATGTTTGTCGGAATTAAGAAATTGCTCAGCCTTGTATAAGTGTTACTATCGGTCGTGATTTGAAACCAGTCTTGTTAGGGCACTGTTGAGTGTGCAGGGTACAGAAATGTTGAGTTTATGTTTTGTAAATAATAATAATAATATACTATTTATGTATATCTGGAATACTGATAGTTCTCTGACACATTTACTTGATATTTTGGCTCAATGTCATATCAGAATATCTGACACGCACAGGATCTTTGCTTCAGTGCTTGTGTAAAGTGGCATTATTTTAATTGTAACTCGGTTACAATCGGTAATTCACCATTTACACTAATTGTCACTCAGCAAGAGTAAAGCACACTTAATGCAACGCTATTTAACTGTTCAGCTGAGAGCCATGTATGACAATTTGAATGTTTAGCTTAAATGCCCTCCATGAGTAAGAAATACAATCAAGTACAGGAGTAATTAAGCTGTATAAGTTGTCCTGGCGTACCTGATAAGTGCATACAGTTCCAATGCAAAACAGACTAAACCCATTAGATTCACTGTGCAGCTTTTGTTTGTTGCTTTGTATTGTGGTTACAGCTTGACAAATGAAAGCATCCATATTTATCAGTAACGTGTTCTGACTTGTGAGACTTGCAAATGTTGTGTGGCTATCAGTTTTTCCTCAAATAACACTTATAAACGTTTTGTATGTACCCTCCTCTTCATTCACATATTGAATGAAACCTTGATTTCTGTCTGAGAAGCCGCCTCATCTGTTGAAGCTTTCTTTCACAGTGTGTTCAGCATTTATTTTACTGTATTTTGTTTTATTGCCTCTTAGGCACAATCATTTTCGCTGTGGACCTGTCAATGGGACTAAATGTGATTTTTCAACAGCACTGTTACTGTATTTTTGATCTAAATGGCTCGTGACATCTGAATTAAAAACAACAAAGCAAAAGATGTGTTGTCTTCGTTGATCTTAATTGTTTGTCGTCATGTTCTTGTGGGAGGATAAGCGGTTAAAATAATTAAAGCAAAATGTCAAATGTTTTACATTTTATTTAGTTAACGGGGTAAATTTGCTGAACACAGCCACTGAGGGTATACCTGAAATGTCACTTACAGCCGGAAATGTATTGATTTACTTTGATAAAGGATTTTTGAGGCTAACAACAATAGTTAAACTATTTGATCATTAAAATATTTTTGTTCTTTTTCTAATTTTCATGACAAAGTGGACAAAATGTGGGACAGTTTTCAGTTCCACTAACTTGTCCATGTTCAGGGTTCCTGTGGCTCCTTAAGTCTTAAATTAATTAACTTAAATTTGCAGGTGATGCATTTAAACAAACAGTTTTCCATGATATAAGCCCTATGAGGCAAATTATGATAAGTGAATATGGAGTATATAAAAAATGTATTTATTGATTGATHGATCAGTTTTGAAACACAGTACCACAAACTGTGTGATTTCTATTGGAACAGTACAAAAAGCACAAATATACTTTATTTACCCAACATATGTTATAATCACTTCAAGTCTTTTTCAAACAATATTAAACTATAAAATGTCATTTCTCTTCACCAAATCGAACTTCTACACACTAGTGCTATTTTAATGGACTTTTTGCACAAGGGGCATTAAGTGTATGCGTGTGTGTGTCTGTGTGTATATGTTAATAACAGTATTTTGATGACTTGTTTCATCTACATGTCCCCAATGAGTATGTGTGTTTTTGTCAGATGTGTGTGTGTGTATATGTGTGTCTGTAAGATTTGTGTGTGTGTGTGTGTGTGTGTGTGTGTGTGTGTGTGTGTAAACCTGGGGAGTTGTTACACACTTTTCACCTCCCAGACATTCCCGCTGGTTTAAATACTACAGACTCAATAGATGGCGAAATTAAGTTTAGGACATAAACACACAAAACAAGCACTATGTTGACTTATTAAAAACTAATTTTTGACTGTGTTCACAGACCAGATTCACTCATTCACGTTGAAGTATAAAAGAATACAAACATATAAACAAATGGCCCAACAGTCCTTTTAAATCCAATCAAGCGGCATCAAAAACTAAAGTTTCTTTCCTGATGTTTCACCCATTTGCAACAGATGCAAGTCTATGACTGGTAACTTAACGCATTATTTTTGGTTATGCAGTAAACTGTACACATACTGGAATTTTCTAAATCATAAGGAAATTAGCTTCTATGCTTCCTATCTTATCTCCTTTAGCAGAGACCATCCTTTACACAAGGAGAGGGGAAAATGCCGTCCCATAATCCTTTGAAAAGCGACGCAGCGTCMTAGTTTTATTCTCCTGAAACAAACCAAAACTTATAGAAATCCTCACACGATCGTCTGAGCTCCTGATTTCATCTCTGTCACATCTTTCCAGTCAGGAGTCACGTTGAACAATGAGATTATTTAACTTAACTAGTTCTGACTCATCAAATACCGATTGCATGTTTCATTTTTCCTGATGGCGGCAATCTGTGTCAGATCATTTGTGAACAGACGTGATGGAACAAATCTGATGATGCAGCATTGCAACACTGAAACAGAGCTTGCTCGGTTTGTGAGCTGCTGCTTTGTAGCCTCTCGTCTATTTGGTCCGGCACCATCTTGTTTTTTAAAATCGTAAGTGACCACATTAGTAGGAGCGAGGGGTGGAGCCTGACTGAGAGCTCGAGGACACTGCACGCCCTCCTCCACCTGCAACCTGCACCCATTGGACATTAATAGCTGTCAATCATATTATATATACATTATATATCATATACACATCATATATTTGACTCTATATGGAACCATGACTTACAAAATGAACACCAGGGTGTATTGAGGAAGAAACAAGAGATGTTGATTAAATTTCAACTTTATTTTTTTTTTAAGAGGTACATATTTTCTTTTTCATTTCCTTTGCCTCTTCTCCTCCTTCTCTCTGTCTAGTTTCAATCTCTTCTCTTGCTTCTTCTTCTCTTTCAGCTCCTTCTTTAGCCTCTTCTCTGCCTCTTTCTTTGCTTTCTTTTGCTCCTTTTCTATCTTTGCCTTGTCCTTGTCAGTCATCAAGGCCAGTTCCTGAAAAGACAGAGACGAGTGTGTTTAGATGTTTTCTCTTTCAAAAGCCTGAATAAAAACAAACTTAAAGTGCAACTAGTTCTTATTTAGATCAAACGGAGCTGATGTGACTTACCTGAAGCTTGATCTGTTTCAGGATGAGCATCTTTATGTCGGCCTCGTGCTTGGCCGCCCACATCTGCTCAGTATCAATGACCAGTTTCTCCAGCTCCTTGATTTTTATGAAGCCAGCCTCCTTCTCCGCCTGCTCACAACTGAGATGGTCCTCCAGAACGTCAACTTTCATCTCCCACTCAGTCTTGTTCTGGAGGATCCTTGTCTCGATGGCTTGCTGCATGGAGATCAGCTTCTGGTTGCTGGCTTCCAGTGCCATATTCTGACTGGTGAGACTGGCGATCATCTGATCCATATGGACAATTCTGGCCTCATGCTTGGTCACCCACTTCTCTTCTGTGACCTTGAGCAGTCTCTCCAGCTCCTTGATTTTATTGGAGCCAGCCTTCTTCTCTGCCTGCTCACGGACATTATAGACACTGTCACATGGGACACCACAGAAACTGTCACATGGGACA